CAGCTGCGTGGATCATCTCCCCAAATTGCAGGAAGTGGGTGGCAGCTCCCTAAAACGCTTTTCTGCCCCATGCCACGTGGGGTGTCATCAGAGGGTGGGACATCCTCCAGGTCCTTTGGAGAGCGGGGGGTTAGTGGATAGGTTATGGATGGGTGTGCATTGGGAAAGGGATGATCGGGGGTTGCGGGATCGAGGGACGAGGGGCGGGGAATGGGGGAGGGGGGTAGACTGGGGATACGGAGGGGTTGGGGGAGGGAGTGAATGAAGTAGAGGAAGGCTAGGAAGGACAGAAATGAGATGAAGGCCAATAAGGCGCAGCTGACGCCTCCGTTATGGTCCTGTGCTCCATCGCGCAACTCCGTGAAGCACAACCTTCAACAACTACGCCACCTTTCAGCGCCCAGTACAAAGAAGAAGCAGCAGCAGCCGGCGAGAAGGATGGCAGCGAACCAGATCGTGCAGCGAATCAGCAGAGCGAAGCGCCTAGCCGTTAATCGAAGGAAGACGCCCTCAAATAAGCACGCGACAACCAGCACGCCAGCTATGGCAAGATTAGGGAGAAGGGCGAGGAGGAGGAGGATGGCTGACGCGGCGCTTTGCGCAGGTGCGGAGTGGGATAAGCAAGGCAAGACACGCTCAGCTGGGCAGGTACCGTCAACATGCATGTTGCTTGGTCGTAGAGTAATCAGGCGTCGGGTTCCGGGGAGAAGACCAGGAAGGTGCCGACTGCTAGAAAGTTACCACTTCCTATACTTCTGGTTGCTCCTCCTCCAGGTCCCAATCAGCAAAAAAATCCATTCCGCCCGCCACCTTGCCCAACCTCCCTTGCAAATGCGAAAACTGGGCATCCCGCTCCGTCGTGAGAATCACTAGCCGTCCCTTGCCTCGATGAATAGTACCTATGGGTTCTGGGTACTATTCTCATATAGTCGCGGGTCCCATCTGAGCGTCGTTACCTTGCGAAGCAACCTATCGTCCCTATCCGTCCATTCATCTACGCCGATCCTTCGGTAAACAGGCAGTCCTCAAAAAAGAAAAAAAAAAAAAAAAGAAAAAAGAAAAACAAGGAGAGAAAAGAAGAGAGGAAAGAAAAAAGGAAAAAGGGAAAAAAAGGAAAGAGAAGCAAGAAAGACAAAAAGGAGGAAAAAACTCAATCAACTCGCATTCCGCGCCCGCCGACTATCCCTACCAGGCGATTTTATTTGGTATGTTCCGAGAGCGGGCTGTTCTCGTGACCCATCGTCCGACTGGTATTTGAGTTGGCCGGGGGCTCTTATTACCTCAAGGAATCTGGTCAGGGAATGGGGGAAACTCAGGGAGGGAAAAAGGAATAGGACAGAGAAGGAAATCGAAAGAACTGAAGGCCAAAAAAGAGAGAGACAGGGGGAAAGAAGAGAGAGAGAGAGAGAGAGAGAGAGAGAGAGAGAGAGAGAGAGAGAGGGAGAGAGAGAGAGAGAGAGAGAGAGAGAGAGAGAGAGAGAGAGAGAGAGGAAGAAAATTGAGTGAAGGAAACTGGAAAAAGGTCCGTTCGTGGGGGAGGCAGGGCTTCGTGAGTCTTCCCGGCTGCTTCCCGTCGGTCCTTCTCTTATCATCTGTATGCGTGTGTGTGTGTGTGTGTGTGTGTGTGTGTGTCCCACCCCGTTCCCTCCGGGGGATGAGCTGCGCCGAGGGGGCCGTTGCCCGAAGGACAGCCGGCCCACTCGGCCGGTCGTCCCCCGGACATCCAACACACATACGCACATACACAGACACAAACACGCACAAGGAGCGCACAGTCAGTCCGTGAGGCCAAACATATCGGACAGCGCCTCCCTAACCATGTGCACAGAGACTAAGCCAGGTTGGTAGCGATGAGCATTCCGTAAGGTCTTCCTGACCACCCCCCAGCAAGCATCCTTGGCGAAACCATTGCCCATTATTGTAGTCACCACCTTGTTGATCTCCGATGCAGCATCATGTGGCTCATAGTAGAGCAGCAGTATCTGCGCGACTTGGGCTGTGATGACGTGCAACGCCTGCTTGGTGTACCGGTTGGATCTGTACTTGACGTACCTGCAAGGGGTGAACCCCAACCCCTCCCGCTTGTCATGTTTCGAGGTGATGAAAGTGCCTGCTTCTAGGGAGGTGATCGTAATGGTCATGCTGAGAAAATTCGCCTTGCATCCACCCCCGTCCACGATCACCTCCGTATTCTCCTTCAATTCGATGTACTCCGCGAGATAGATCCAACAGGGGTCATCATCCTCCCTTCCTTCCTTCTTCATAAGATCCCTGATGATGATGTTGTTGATTGCCCCCATGTCGTCGACATACCTGAAAGTGTCTGAGAAGTATGGGATGAGATGCGCGTTCCCCGTGTCCGCCAACCTCATCATGGCATGATACTCATACTTAAAAAAGTATATATCACACCCGATAGGAGAACATGCCAAACCCATCGGGATCCCTCTGACCTGTCTCCATACATAGTCCCCCATACACAACACGCTATTAGCGATGCACTAGTCAGAAAGCCAGCAAATGTCCTTCTCCCCAAACAACATTGTGCCCACTCCCTCGACTTGTCCGTCACTCACCCATGAGGGCCAGAGTTTGCCGCCGTCCCCCACCCTAATCTGAATAGTATGGCATGAGCTCCTCTCCCTTCTCACCTGCATTGCACTTTGCACGTAGAATCTCACCACCGCATCCTCTGAGTTATCCATGGGGATCGTCTCGAAGCATTTGGTGATGTCCGCCGTGAACAAAGAGAAAATCCTCTCCAGCAGATTTGCACATAGTTCTCCGACAGACGCAATCGACCACCACAGGTTTGGTTCCACCCCGTACTGCTCCTGCATCTCCACGCTACTCTCCTGACAGAACGTCTGCACTAGGGGAAGGAGGAACCGCAAAAGGCATGCACAGAGGTCCGCCGCAGGGGAGACGACCGTGCCAGTTGTGTTCGTGATCCATCTAAATGAGTCCTTATGCGCCTTGTACACCGTCATCAAAAATGGGAGTGTCGCGGGCGCCACCGGTAGTGCTGGGAAGGCCGAGAGTTCACCTTGTATCTGCGCAACCACCGTGGCAGAGGGGGCTGCGATGCTTGCGAATTCAGGTCCGGATAGTCTTTGGAAGGCGAGCTTGCGAATGAAGTTCTTACAGACGAACACCGGAGTGTTAGGCGCCTTGTCGGTTCTTACAGACGAACACCGGAGTGTTAGGCGCCTTGTCGGTAGGGCATATGAGGAAACGCCCAGTGAGAAACTCCAGTTCTCTCTTCACGGCAGGGTGCTCGAAAGGTTCCGCAGGCACGTGCCTATGCTGCTCCTTGTACCTGGACATCTTTGCCCTCGCCTTCTTCAGGATTACCCTACGCAGAAGTGACCGTGTGGACGCTGTAAGTTCCTGCAGTTCCATTACTCTCGCCATAAGTCGATCCAGGAATTCGCCCACCTTGCTCTCCACTACATCAATATCCAGAGCCATGCAGGGGATATGGTTGAGTCCCGAGTTCATGATCCCTTGCAGTAAAGGGTTGTCCGTGATTGATGAGTCGAGTGTGATCATGTGCGTGTGCCCTTCGGATTGGAGTAGATTCAGCGAGGCAGGGCTGCGCATGTCCGCGTATCTGCGAGTTCTGCAAGGGCACTGTTCTGGGTCATAGATCTCCATCCATTGCGCCACATTGAAATCGCAGAACACTTCCACAGGTTTGCACAGCTTGGACGTGATGCTAGCGTTATAAGTCCATCCGATCATCGTGCGCTCCAGCCACGTCGCCGTGTCATCGCCGATTATCCTTGCGAGGGTCTCATTGACCATCTTCCTAATGGAAAGAGGTTCCATTACCCTGCTGGTGTACTTCAAATGCAGGAAGACGTCACAGTCCGACTTCTGCCTCCTCCAAGACCTTCGTCCTGTTGGCATGGTGATCATCTACCCGGGGGCCGGGGGCACTGACGCAGCATCTCGGGTCCTGCGCTCCGACAGTCACAATCACAGGCCAGGGGTTGTGTTAGGTGGGGCAGTGCATTTCAGAAGGGTAGTGGGGTCGTTTCGAGAGGATGGTATGGCCAAACGAAAAAACGAAAAAAGACACAAGGACACGAAAAAAGAACACAAAAAAAGAAGGGGGAGAAGGAAGAAGGAGGTTTCAAGAGGGTTACGCACGCGTCGTTCGCGTGCCAGCGGAGGTGCCTGCTCTCGTATTGCCCCTACCTCGTGCTCCCTTCTTCCTCCTCTCAGTGTGGGTAATTGTTAACCATGTCGAGCTTTCCGGTGAAAGGAGGATGACGAGAGGTGGGGTGAGTCCCCTAATTACCATCATTGGTTGTAGCGGAAGCGGGGAGGAGGTGGCCTGACCCATCGTTGCCCGTAACTACGGATTCGCAGCGAGCGAGGCACGGAGATGATCAACGCAGCTGATACGCTGCAGTGCGGGTGGGCAGCATCGTGGGCTGCATCTGTGCGGACATGGCCTGAGAAGGAGGGGGAGGAGGAGGAGGAAGAGGAGGAGAGGGAGGGGGTGGAGGAGGAGGAGGAGGAGGAGGGGGAGTGGAGGAGGAAGACGGGGGAGGAGGGGGAGGTGGGGGGGAGCCTCCGGGTATGGGTGTCACCCTGCGAAAGTTGAGTGTGGTCTAGCTCGGAATGTGTCCACCCGCGTTTCTCTTCCGTGCCATCACCCGTGGGGAGCTGAGCGGAAATCTCGTTGGCTTCTTAGGAATGCGCGTGGGGAGCATGATCCGCGCCAGCATGGCGGGGATCAGGTAATTCCAGAGTCGGTCGTCCTTCAGCAGTCCTTCCGTATCAAGTGTTGCGTCGTCCTCTAGCTCCCTGATATAGCCCATCATTAGATCTCTGATAAAGTGGAAGGCAATGGCGGCGAGCAGTCCCTCCCTCCGCGTAGTCCTGAGGTAATGAATCAGCATTGACGTCCTGATCTTTATTGAGGACATGTCCGGGAATAGTACGTCCGGGTGCGCGAATAGGAACCACAGGGCATGGTCGAACCACAGCGGGGTGTCCCCGCAATCTTTGTTCCTCTCCTTCTTACATTTGCACTTGAGGGAGGGCCTACCCACGCTCCAAATCTTCTTTACGTTCCTCATATCTAATCTGTCTTGCTGCCTAATCGCCTTCTGCCACATCCCGGAGCTCGTCTCGCCACACTTATCTGGATCGAAGGAGCGCATGGGGGGGAACTTCAGGTCCTGCGGATCTAACGGGGGGACCCTGCCAGAGAACTTTAACTTACCTCTCAGTACCTGAGTCCTGCATTCCTTGACGTGCGCATCCGTGATGTTGCCTAGAAACGGAAGCGCTCTAATGGAAATCGGAGCGACGTGGTTGAAGGTTTCCATTTTCCAGATGGCGTGTCGGAATCTGGTGGAAGTGTGCTCTACCCAGTATGCCGATGCGAGGGGGGCAAACACAGTGTATTTGTCCCGTTCCAAGGCGCTATCCTCAGCTCGGTCGCTCGTGAGGGGGGAGTCCCTGATGGTGTTGGCGATGGCGGCAATCGCCCGTTCCATCTCCTCCCTTTCCCCAGTTTCGATCGCTAAATCATCGCATCTCGTAACCCGAGCGTCCCTTGTGTTGGGTGAAGCCTGTTCCCGTGTGTGGGATCCGCCCTTCCAAGTGCGAGTCATCAACACCCCAAATCCGAAGAAAGATTCGCTCTACCCTCGCCGATCTACCCGCTAATTCTCTGCATTCCCTAATGTACTCCTGTTTCCTCAGCTCCAGTCGTTCGCACAGAGTCCTTAGCTCGTCGTCGAATTCCTGTCTACTATGCTCCCAAGCACCTGCAAGGACGGCGAGATCGCTAAAACAAAGCATTTCAAAGAGATGGGGAAAACACCCGGTGTCCCATGCCTCTCTAATCGCATCCATTACCCCAAGGTTGACGCAGGTCATCAAGGCCTGCGTGGGTTTCGTCGGCCAAGCACAATCCTTGAGCCTGGGAAAACGATGCATGACCTCATTCCACCACCCGCCAGGGAAGGATTCCTTGGGGGGTCTTCGCGGCTGTGTATTCAGCAGGGCCGAGAGAAGGGGGGAGAGAGAGAGAGAGAAAAGATGGGTACGGAGGAGATTCAAGACAAGGAGAGTGATCGAGAGGTAAGCGTGGGGGATAGAGGTGGTGAGGAACATGGGTGGACGGGATAGGGAGGGACGGAGGGAGGGGGGAGGGGAAAAGGGGGAACCACATACAAGCGGACAGCAGCGAAATGTCAAAGCAGGATCCCACCAACTGTCCCGATCTCACAGCATTAATCATCACAAGTCGCGCCATATTCAGCCATATTTCCTTTCGATATCGTCCGGTCATTCCCTCGTCAACATCGGACGTCCTCGGCGTAACCCATAACCACCATCATGACCTCATTCTCACGCGGGTGCGTATAAGGAACGCGAAACGCATCACGGTGTGGACGGGGGTGGCACCCCCCGTCAGCGATAGAGGAAACGCGTCCTCGAGAGTGTGTTAGCATGCGCATATCACATGCATTTTGCACGGGCACGACACGTCATGCACGTGCTACTCCGACTAGACACGTCGACACACCGTGAGCAAAACAAACAAGACGTGTGAGGCGATGTCCCAACGCGGCGAGGCAAGGCCACTTGGTATGTCCATTTCGTTCTAAGGGTAACAACAAGGCCGTTTATCGGGTGACAGGTGTAATTCGGCGTAGGCGGTGAAGAAGAAACGCGAGGGGGGTTGGAGCGCTTCGCACCACAAGGGGGCAACGATAAGACCAACCATAGAGACATATGCCCGATATATACCAAGAGGAAGAGTGACCATTCCATCAAGAACCCCCCGGCATCGTATAAGCCTTGCACCGGAATATCATTCATCCAATTGATAGATTGCAACGAGACAAGAAAGGGAAGGAAAAGTAAACAAAAAAGGAAAACAAAAAAAGAATCAGAAAAGAGGAACAACAGAGAAAGGGGAAATATGACCAATGTAGCGCATCATTCATCAATATTCTCGGAGATAGCACCATTCATTCCACAAGTCTTGATAATATTCCCTAAAACGACGAAGGCTCATCAGACAAAAGGACACACAACAGTCATTATGCAAAAAGAGAACACGCCGACTAATAAAGCGCAGCATCCAACGAAACAGACGAAAGTGCTTCGAAAAAGATGAGAGAACAATCAATTATTGCAAAAAGAACATTATAGACGACGCAGTGTTTGAAAAAAAAGAGAATACCAATCCCTTATCCCAACCATCAAGAGTCTCGTCGCCCGCCTCACCTTCCTACTGTCAACCGAGTACAAGGTCCATGGAAAAGGGCAGATAAGAGGGGAGGAGGAAGAAAGAAGGAAGGAAGGGAAGGGGAGGGGGGGAGGGGAGTGAGGAAGTTATGATCCCGCTTCAGCTCTTTCCTCCAGATCGACACATTCCTGCAGCTGCGTGGATCATCTCGCCGAATTGTGGGAAGGGGGTGGCAGCTCCCTAAAGCGCTTTTCTGCCCCATGCCACGTGGGGCGTCATCAGAGGGTGGGACATCCTCCAGGTCCTTTCGGAGGGCGGGGGGGTAGTGGATGGGTTATGGATGGGTGTGCATTGGGATAGGGATGATGGGGGGTTGCGGGATCGAGGGACGAGGGGCGTGGGATGGGGGAGGGGGGTAGACTGGGGATACAGGAGGGGTTGGAGGAGGGAGTGGATGAAGTAGAGGAAGGCTAGGAAGGACAGAAATGAGAGGAAGGCCAAGAAGGCGCATGCTGACGCCTCCGTTATGGTCCTGTGGTCCATCGCGCAACTCCGTGAAGTACAACCTTCAACAGTTACGCCACCTTTCAGCGCCCAGCACAAAGAAGAAGCAGCAGCAGCYGGCGAGAAGGATGGCAGCGAGGCAGATCGTGCAGCCAATCAGCAGAGCGAAGCGCCTAGCCGTTAATCGAAGGAAGACGCCCTCGGATAAGCACGCGGCAACCACCACGCCAGCTACGGCAAGATTAGGGAGAAGGGCGAGGAGGAGAAGGATGGCTGACGCGGCGCTTTGCGCAGGTGCGGTGTGGGATAAGCAAGGCAAGACACACTCAGCTGGGCAGGTAGCGTCGGCATGCATGTTGCTCGGTCGTAGAGTACTCAGGCGTCGGGTTCCGGGGAGAGGATCGGGAAGGTGCCGACTACTAGAAAGTTACCACTTCCTATACTTCTGGTTGCTCCTCCTCCAGATCCCAATCGGCAAAAAAATCCATTCCGCCTGCCACCTTGCCCAACCTCCCTTGCAAATGCGAAAACCGGGCGTCCCTCTCCGTCATCAGAATCACTAACCGTCCCTTGCCTCGATGAATAGTACCCATGGGTTCTATTCTAATATAGTCGAGGGTCCCACCTAAGTGTCGTTACCTTGCGAAGCAAGCTATCGTCCCTATCCGTCCATTCATCTACGCCGATCCTTCGGTAAACAGGCGGTCCTCAAGAAAGGAAAAAGAAAAAAAAAAAAAAAAAAAAAAAAAAAAAAAAAAAAAAAAAAAAAAAGGGGAGAAAAGAAGAGAGGAAAGAAAAAAGGAAAAAGGAAAAAAAAAGAAAACAGAAGCAAGAAAGACAAAAAGGAGGAAAAAACTCAATCAACTCGCATTCCGCTCCCGCCGACTATCCCTACCGGGCGATTTTATTTGGTATGTTCTGAGAGCGGGCTGTTCTCGTGACCCATCGTCCGACTGGTATTTGAGTTGGCCGGGGGCTCTTATTACCTCAAGGAATCTGGTCAGGGAATGGGGGAAACTCACTGAGGGAAAAAGGAACAAATCGGAGGAGGAAATCGAAAGAACTAAAGGCCAAAAAGAGAGAGATAGGGGGAAAGAAGGGGGGGGGAGAGAGAGAGAGAGAGAGAGAGAGAGAGAGAGAGAGAGAGAGAGAGAGAGAGAGAGAGGAAAAACATTGAGTGAAGAAAACGGGAAAAAAATCCATTCGTGGGGGAGGCGGGGCTTCGTGAGTCTTCCCGGCTGCTTCCCGTCGCTCCTTCTCTTATCATCTATATGCGTGTGTGTGTGTGTGTGTGTGTGTGTGTGTGTGTGTGTGTGTGTGTGTGTGTGTGATTGGGTGGTATTGTGGAAAAGTGCGGAATGTGATTGTGAAGTTTGGGGCAAGCCGTTTAATGCCCTTATTGACACAGGGTCTTCTATCGTGGCCATGTCATTGGATACTGCCAAAAAGACGGGACGATTGGGTTCCATTCTTCCTCAATCTGGCAAAGACAATTATGTCTCTGCCGACGAGGAGGCAATGAACATCGTAGGCATTATCGAGAACGTGGCTTTAAAAGTCAGGCGAGTACACGTCCTTGTTAATGCGCTCATGATAGATATACGTTCTTATTCTGTGTTATTGGGATTACCTTGGGCGATGGCGGTAGGCGCACGTCTGCATTTCGATTCGAGGCAATTGGTGCTCACGCAAACTGGGGGAAAGCCTCAAACGGTCCCTTTATGAGTTTCCAGCCGAACGATAAAACGGGTCCCTGACTCGGCCCAAATTGGGATGATTCGATGCGTTGATCCCGAGAAGTGCTCTCCCTCAAACATCACTGATGGAATCAGGAAACAAGAATACGAAGAAGAGCTGCCCAGCGAAGATGAATGGAAGCACCTGGTTGAACTTTTGGAACGCGAAATTCCCAAGGAATTCAAAGTGTGCCCCGACCCTGCTCGAAGTTTCCACGTTGATCCCGGAGACAGCGTGCTTGCGCCTCCGATAACTCAAGTTAGTCCTTCAGTCCTTCTCGGGGAACCCATATTGCAAGTTTTCAATCTGGCTGACGACTTGGAACCCCCTCGCACCTTGTACGAGGGAACTCTCTCTTTACGAATGAGTTATCAGCAAACGGAACAGTATGTAGACGTTTCTGTTTTCCCACCCCGATCGTTACTAACGACAGGAGCCACCATCGCCTTGATTAAACAAGAGGCGGAAGCACCGGTAAGTGATGTACCTAATCTGATGCAAGAAATGACGGATCTAACAGGGCTAACTATGGAACCGACCTCGGTTGGTTCAAAAGTTGACGCCGAAACTAAAGAAACATAGATGATCAGCCCTGTTGAGTCCCAGATGATAGCAACTGTCTTCTCTGTTCGCACCACTAGTTCCGTTTTTTCTAGTGTCCGTGATCGACAAGAACGGCCGGTTGATTGGATTGATATGCCCCTTAAGATTTCCGGGGAATCAACGATCACCTTGCCAGGTCACGTTCCCGCGGAACTTCGGAAATTGTTAATTCGAGTGTTAAATGGCTACGAAGAAGTATTGAACATACACCATAACGACATCGACTTAACTAATGTAATCGAGCATGTCATTCTCACAGGAGATCATCCACGCATTAGTTGCACTCCCTACTGATACTCGCCAGCTCAAAGGGTGGCTGCTTTTCAGCGGATTAAGGAATTTGAAGTTAATGGATAGATCGAACCCTTTATAGGTCTATGATCTTTCCCTGTAGTGATCGTACCTAAGAAGGCTGGAGGGATTCGCATTTGCATTGATTATCGAAAGTTGAATGATATCACAATCAAAGATGTGTATCCCCTCCCCCGGATTGACGAGTTGTTGGATGCGATTGGGAGTGCTCGATTTTTCAGCAAATTTGATGTTCGCCATGGGTTTCATCATCTTCTTGTTCGTGAGGAAGATCGTCCGAAAACAGCGTTCGTGCTTTTCGAAGGTACATGGCAGTGGATTCGATGTCCGATGGGTATCTGCATTGCCCCTGCGACCTTTCAACGGGCCATGAACATGGCTTTTCAGAATTTCGTGAGGAAGACTCGTTTGGCGCAGAGCATCATCAAATACTGCGTGATTGTGTACATGGATCACATCCTGGTGTATTCGAGTTCCTACGAAGGACAGATGCAGCACATCGAATGGGCACTGCATGCGTTACGAGATGCAGGTTTGAAAGTGGCACTTGAGAAGTGTCAGTTTTTCCACACCACCATTTCCTTCCTAGGGCACGTGGTGACAGACAAGGGACTCCAACCAGAACCACAAAAAGTGGCGGCTGTCAGGGACGCGCCGGTGCCTACGACTATCACGCAAGTTCGCGCCTTTCTGGGCTACCGAAGATTTATCAAGGGCTTCGCGGCGATTGTGGGACCCCTCACAAATCTGTTGCTCAAGGATCAGCCGTTGATCTGGACGCCAGAATGCTATCAATCGTTTTCCACACTCAAGGCCGCTCTCATTTCGGCTCCGGTCCTTATAAGACCGATCCTGAAAAACCTTTTGTTCTCATCACTGACTGGCAGCCAGAGGTGATTTCGGCGATCCTTGCCCAGGTGGGACCAAGCGGACTCGAGAGTGTGGTGGAGTATGCGTCAAAGTCAGTGCCCGCCTGCAAGCGCAACTACTCCGCTTCAACGGGTGAATGCTATGCCGCTCTCTCGGGAATCAGTCACTTTTGTGCTTTCCTGTACGGGCGAAGATTCACCCTGGTGACTGATCATGAGCCCCTATTGGCTCTGAAGAAGTCGAAGGATTACTCAGGCATGATCCGGCGATGGGCAACGGTGTGCAGAGCATGCACTTTGACATTCGTCATCGGAAGCACGAGAGACACGGGAATGCAGACGGACTGACACGACTGCACCGACCTGAGAAAGTTCCGAAGAATGAGGCGGTGATTCCATGGAACGAACCTAAACAGGAGGTTGGACCCCGGTACGGCCAAGTGGAGATTTTGTCGAAGCAGTAAGTGGCACGAGGACTAATTTGTATGTTCCACTCCCTCCACAAGTCAGTCCTATCTCTCCTCCTCTATCATCATGACTACCCCACTCGCCTCCGCAACCCCTTCATCTCCTACTTATTCTGCCCCTCTCACGTCCTCCGCTTTCTTCGCCACCCTCCCCGATAAATTCTGTTATTTTTGCACGTGTATTGCACGAGTTTATGGGGTCGACTATCATACTTTCGAGACCGGGTTTGTCGATTGGGTAGAATGTGCCACGTGTGTCAACGGTGCGCACGGGGCCTGCGTTCGATATCGGACGAGTAGCAAGGAATGGAGGTGCCCCCTGTGTAGAACGAACAAGCGCCCCACGGAGGTTCGATTCGAGGCTGCCCGTATGGACGGCCCTGAATACTACGAAAAATACCGACGAGCGGAGGTTTGGACGGATAAAATTTTATTAGCAAAATTAGTGGGACTGTCATTCGGCCACCTCACCAAACACGACAGGCGTAGGGCAACCGAGAGATCTTGGGATTATCGATGGATCAACGGTCATTTGGAAAAGCGTAAAATTGACGGATCAGGTTCGTGGTTGACGGTTCCCCATCCATTCCCGAGATACGATTGGATCCGATATGCTCACGAAGAACAGGCCGCTCATTTTGCAATACGTGTCACAGAGGCAACTGTAGACCAGAACCGACAAGATGACGTCAAGTACATTGTCGCTAACTGTCTGGTCTGTGCCGCTCATCGCGCCCCTATACGGGGACCCAACACGATCCTACCAACGGAAGTAGAGTGTCCCTTCCAGCGAGTAAGTATGAACACGACAGATATTGACGTGCCACCTGAGCCAAACCGCTGTGAATATTCTATCCTTTTAGTCTTAATTGACCATTTTTCCAAATACATTGAAGTCTATCCCTGTAAGACCGGAAAGGCCGCAGAAAAAGCCACGTACATCGAACGATTCCTCTATACCCACCTAGATACAGAGGAAATTCTAACTGACAATGGGTCGGAATTCAAAGGTGAGGTAGAAGAACTGCTTGCGCGAAGGGGCGTCACGCATGTCCCAGTCCAACGGGTTGGCCGAGAATGCCAACCGTATGATTAAAACCGCCCTTCACAGGAACTTAGCGGCACACGATATGCGTCCTTGGCCCGAGATCGTATATCAGATCGTTGGGATCCACTGGGCCACCCCTCATGAATCTACGGGGTTTACCCCCTTTCAGCTTCGAACTAATAGCCTCCCCCGTGTCGATTACCGGGGTAACTCGRAAATTGCCGAAGCAGGGGGTAGAGACACGTGTGCAGCTCTCAGGGCCAAGGCCAAAAGGTACACTGAGTTAATGGAACGGGCCGTCCCGAAGCTGGGCCGAAAAAGGCAAAGGATGACCGAATTGGCCCACGGTAGACAGGTCCRTAGCTACGAGGCCCGGAATGGAAATGTTGGGCCCCTGTACCAATATAAATTACGGGACCTAGTGCAGGTACGTAAATGTGCACGCGACAGGAAACTCGCTCCCAAATTCTCTGGCTGTTTTCGCATTGTCGAACTTGGACCCAACCGCGCCAACACGGTGCGAATCGCGCCTGAAGCTAGTGCCAGCCATAGCTTTGTTCCCATCGTCCGGCATACCTCCTACCTCTGTCTCCTTCCGAACTTCCTAACTTCCTCGGAAAGCGAGGAGAACGACGACGATCTAACTCTCTCTCCTCTTTCTCCCTCTCCCACCCCGCCATGAGTTTTATCACGGAGCGGGTTCTTGACGCGCAGCTGTTGCAGCCACGTGGCCACATCTCACAGATTCGGCAAGTTTGTCACCCTCGGCTCAATGCAGATCTTCGGCGTCTGATGCGATTCTTCGGCGACGAAGGTATCTGTGCCGCCGCTGCGTTTCGGATCGAAGGAAGTCCTCACGCAGTGGTATTCGCGGAGGTAACTGCAGTTCATCGGCGAGCAGGTCCCAGAACGAGCCACGTTACCACGGTGGCAGCTTTCACCTACGACATCAGCTCGGTCAATCTGTTGTTCCATACATCGATCTTGACCTCGCTGCGCGAATGGACGGAGCAAGTATCCAACGTGTGTCAGCACGTCCTCGCCCGACAAGGGTATAACATCATCCCGAACTTTACACCGGATCTAGACAATATTCATCGATCACCGCGCGAGCGGCCAGTTGCGATCCCAACCCTCGTCCCCTTCCCACATTCCCAATGAACCACGCCGATCTCCTCGCGCCTCTCTCTATCTTTGCACTCCCCTCTCTCTTCCCCACCTTCTGGCAATCTGATCTTCACCCTTCTTTTTCCTTCTCGTTCGAGCCTCTTTTTGTCCCTCTTATCAATCCTGGACATTGGCGGTTGTGGTGCGAAACGTTTGAGGAGCTGTCTTTATGCCTGGCCAGAGTACAGGTGACGTGGACGGGCACTAGCGAGCATCCCACGTGGATCGAGAATCCGGAGCTGCTGATCATACAGGCTTGGAGGACTAACGTGGAAGGAGATCTTCTTGGGTTTCTCTTCGGATTGGTACAGCCGGGTCGACGCCACCKGATTGCGCAGGAGCTTATCGCACCGATSTGGCAACTCGCGAACGACCTCTCGCCCGRCATCTATTTTCAGAGTGACGACAGTCCTGCTCCGTACATTTTCGAGCGATCATTGGACCCGTACCTTCAGTGGACTGCGTGCTTGGAGGAACCTAGGGAGGAGGATACGCTACCATCGCGGCAGGAGTACCTGAAGCCGTACGAGATCATCCCTCAAGCCTTCTATCCGAGGGCAGAGGAAGTAGTGATCGAYGACGACAAAGAAGAAGACGAAGACGAAGAAACATCGGAGGAGGGAAGCTATAGTRAGCACAGCGAGGGCGAACTGAGCGAAGGAGAAGAGGAGGAAGAGAAAACTGGATCCGAGTGGGAAGCCTTGCCGGAGGAAGCGACGCGTACAGGAACGGAGGCAGACGATCCGGAAGCGGCGCAAAAACGCGAAGAAATTGTCACCGGGAAGCGCCAACTGGAGTTCGCCAGCCAAACTAGCCTGCGCATCAGCAATGACCCGATCAGGGATCCAGAGCCGCCGAAGCCCGAAGATGGCAACCCTGCAGCCGCCACCTCAAGTACCGTGCGACGGAGCCGGAGACGATCCCCCTCCTCCCCCAGCCCCACCCGTCCCCCGGTTTGCCCACGTACCGATGCGGGCGATAGGCCTTCGTCCTCGAACGCTGTCCCGCCGACCCCTTGATTTCCTCACCCTCGAGCAGATCCGTACCCCCGTCACCTTCCCCTCCCATCCTTTTCGTCCCCATCTCTTCCACGGCTTCTATTCTACCCATCTACTCGCCACCGTCCACCCCCACGCCTCCCTTCAATCTGCTGCCCCCACGTTCTGATGGCATCTCCTGCTGTTCTGCGCTGCATGGGAGCGATGCAACGTGGTAGAGGTTTATTGTGTTGCCACGGGGACAATCCCCGCTTGCTGCCACTTCGAAATCTTTCGAGCGGTGCTCTTCCGCACCCTTTCCTCCTTCTACCGCGACTACCTCGCTTCCCTCCCCCGCAGCGGCGATCATTTTCCCCACTTCCACCGGATCATCGGATATGAGGAGCTCCCGGTGACGATGGAAGGGATGAATCGCTTCCTGCCCCCCACTTCCTCCCCGTCATCCCCGCGAGACCCCCTCGATGTACCGCCTCTACTGGCCTATTTCAACTAGGCGGTAGGCCCGAATCACATACCCCCCCCCCCGTCCTCTCCCCATTGGCACGAATCAGTAAGCTTCGCGAAGATCCCGCCATCGACGATGACATCAACCTACGCTCTGATTCGACGAGCAGCAACGAGCAGGGGTGCAGAGCACACGGAGATCAGGCGGACCGTGATGGCGTCACCTTGATGATCTCTACAGGGCAAGGGGTTGCATATGACAGGGCCGCGGAGGTCTTGCCATGGATGTTGTCACCATCTCATCCGCGGCTTGGTGACCACCCCTTGTGCTTCTTTCTGGAAGCCTTGCTGATGTGTTTGGTTCCTCATGCATCACTCTGTTCTCCCTCTTTCTCTTTCCTGTTCCGCCATGACATGCAATCAGGAGATCGCATAATTTTGGAACCCCCTGCGCGTCACATACTTGATGAACCACTTCCCGAACCCGTGCCATCTTTCGTACCCCTTCTTTTGCTTGTATCATACCAACCCCAGAAAAACCGAATTTCGATTTCTTGTTGTCGGATGCCGCATTTTTTTTTTTCTTTTCTGAAAGCTTTTTCGACTTCTGGGATTTGTCTTTCCTTTTTGCAAGTCTGGAAATACATGGGAATTTACGTGCGCCTTAACGAGCGCACTGCAAATTGGGCTCGGCAATTGGGAACTTCAGGATAAGCGGGACTTCGACGTGTCCTTTTCGAGTGTGTGAATGTTCTTGGCCGCATCAAGAAAACTCTCGGAATTTTGCGTGAATACAAATAGGCGTAGGATTTTCTTTTCCCGCGTCGCTATTTCGCGCGCGGATATGGTGATTTCAATTTTGAATAAGGAAAGAAGCAAGCCGTAACTGTTTCGGTGCCTTTTTCTTTCTTTTTGTTGACGGCGCCGCGCATGCAAAACTTTCTCCTCTCTGTCCCCCGCATCGCTCCCTCCCGCGCCTCCCTTCCCTTCTCCCTCCTTTTTCTCTCTCCCCGTAACTGTTTTCCTTTTCTCTCTCTCTCTTCCGCCTTGCTTTTAGCGTGCCCATTTCCCTTTCTTGATTATCTGAATCTTGGACCCGTCTTGCGCTACTTCTCGCGCCTTTTCTCCTCTCACCCTCCAAGTCTGGCGCACGACGCCCAGTCGATCCATCGATAACTCCCGCTCGCCAATCAGGTGCACGGATCAATAGGACCTTCCTATTGTGCGGTGAATCTGATTGGTTGACCCTTGAGTTTCAGGGATCAACATGGCGATCGTAGAGCACTCTTCTCAAAGTCTTCTCCTCATGCTTCTCCTGTTACACCTCAACTTTCCCGTCGGCTTCTCCCCCTTCTATCTCCCTTGTCCCAACTATAAAACCCGCAAGCGCGTCCGCAAATCTCTCTTACGTTCTCGACTCCTAAGCCAGGTTCCGGGAAGCAGTGGCTAGGCCGAGTAGGTTGATGCGAGTTGGAAAGTCCTTTCGGGTTGACGATAGGTTGGCCGGTTGCGCGCTTGATCGCCACGACGGACTGCGGGATCCGGGTGGACCGTGTCGAGTTTACGACAGCGGGGTGACAATCGCAGTGGTGGGAGTTAGCACGCGACGACCGGGATTGTCGGTGCGGGTATGAGGATCGATGATCGGAGTTGAGTTGATTGGCCCGGGGCCATATTGGAATAAATGGCGAATGCGCCTTTGTTGCAGATTGTTATCTTTGGCGTGAGTGTACGGCGGCAATGCCGAACTTTTCTCTTTCCGGACCTTGTCATCTTCTATCTTGATTTCCTTTCCCTCGACTGTCTCTTCCTCTCTCTTTCTTTCTCTTCCTCTTTTTGAATGATAATGCGTCTAAATGATTGTCCCTCTCCTGAATAGGAATGAGTTTGCATCCTGTTTCTGTGTGAAAGAACTTTTTCCGGAACTCTTCCATTAGTTTCCTGGGTAATTCTCCTATGCAAGGACCCTGTCTTCTTGTCTTGTGAACGATGGATGTGTGTGTACTATGCAATGCGATCTATCCTTCCTGTGCATGTCTCATTTTCGCACCTTCCACAGTGGATGCATGCATGGAGACATGTGACTCTTGTTGATTAGACGATTGTCATCGGGATTTTGTCCGAGAATGCAAGAGCGTTTAGATCTATAGTTTTGAGTGCACCGCGCATGCCATTTGCCCTATGCTCCGACATCAGCAAGCCAAATCACGAGGCGGCCTTGAGAAACTAGGCGCCTGGGATCAACGTCGCACCGGCTCACTAAACTTGAGCCGCGGATCGGTCCCTTAGTCATATGCATGATCAAGTTGCTGAAGTGTCCTTCTCTCTCTCCCTCTCGTGTTGAAGGAAATTGTTTAGGAGTAATGCAAGTGCCTTCTTTTTTTTGGATGACGACGCAAGGTCTTTACAACTGATTGATATGTGGACTGACCAGTACCCTCCGATTGGGCACCAGCCTCCCGTACCTCCCGTCCCAACACGGCCTCTTCCGTATAATGAGGGAAGGACACGTGTGTGTGAGTGGGACGTACGAGAAGCTGTCGCTCAGATCGGCAGGCGATACTACTTCCCTCCGGCCAACCGCTGTTTAGGGTTCGTAGAGGCTGGGTTTGTCATTATCGACACACACTTCCCACCTTACTCGATATTGTTGCCATTCAACGAGCTGATCGTCATCCTGTGGACGGAAGTAGAACCCCACTGACCGCGCACTCTATGCACCGAATGCCAGCGTTTTGAGCGCTACGAATCTCAGGGTTTCCACTACCGTGTGCGGAGTGAAGACGAGCATAAAGAAAGAGCCACGCGACTGAGACCATCCACGTCGGACTCGGAACTGACCACGGAACGACGATGAGATTTGATACGAGAACGAGACACGCGGAGCGTGCCGAAGCCTTTCCGTTCTAAACGACGGGCCGTAGCTCAGTGGGAAGCCCGACAATACTTTTTGGATTGAATTTGGATTTTTCTCTTTTCGCGCCATGCCCGAGCGCACATTCCGCAACGCGCGAAAGCAATCGACTTGCTTCATCGGACCAACACGGGGGACTTCAGTTCTGTCTGTGTCCCCACACTCAATTTCCCCAAAAATCCTTGGCACACCCCATGTTGCTGTTTTTCTGGGCCTCTTTCCGCACAACTAACACTCCGAATGAAAGACAGCACAGGGCGTGAGGTTGTGCGTCACACACCTCCGCCTTTTCCCAATCATCCGCGGACATACTCTGTTTGCACCCCCTGGCTTCCCTGCAATACTATATGTATGTGTACTGCATTAGGTTGGCGGGAATTACTTGCGGTTCCTAACTTAGCAAACTAATACCCACTCTGTGTGCACAGGGGAGGTTCAGGGCTGCCTGGAATTAAACCACAAGTACACGGCCCCAGCCTTGCAGTCCGAAACTTGTCGCCACAAGAAAACGGAGGTCCTCACTCCCGGAATTTCTGGGCGCAGCGTCACCGGGGGCACTGCGCCCCGCAGCACCAATCAAGGTTACCGCCAAGGCGAGGAGCCGCGCGCTGGGAAACTGCATGCAGCAAGGGAAATCGCACGCGCGCGCTTGACGATTGCGTGTGATTGGGCGCGCGCCCTGAGCTGAAAATTGGCCCGCCGATGGGCTATGTCGAGGAGCTGAGATGGTCCAAATCTCAGAGCAAATGGTCCAGTGGATGATGAGATATCGAAGATGTAGGCCGCACCATGAATTTCGAGTGTGTCACCGGAAGAAGAGAGATGGCTGTTGTGCGCAACATGGTGATGTGGGAATGAGGATGCGGGAGTCTGGCGTGTTTCCCCCTTCCTCAACACCGGTAAGTGGTTACTATGGTGGTTCGAACCTTCTGTGGCGACTCGCTGACGGGTTTAGTCAGGAGGTGCCACACCGTTTCTGATTTTCCTTGGAGGATTTGAAACGGCCGTCGAAGTTTTCGGTGTTAGCAGTGTGTCGATTTTYGTCGCTAGCAGTGGGAGGAGGGGTRTCTCTCTTTCCCCSAAGAYGTTGGGTTAGGGTTTGAGGGGGATGRGRWGAGTTGGTGTTGAGGAAGAGGGGAGGGCAGGTATCGTCACATGGGATTGATTTCTCGTCATTAGTCGTGTTTTTCAAAATTACTCAACGGTAGTTCTTGTCGGATAACTCAACTTGTAATATCCATAGCTGTTTCTACTCTGATTTTTCAGTTGGCAGTGTTTTTGAATAAGTGGCTTGACCTTTCTATTCCTCTAAATTGTAGGCGTTCATCAAAATGATGACGGTCTAATTCAGATTCTTTGAATTCTGAAGTGAATCTTGATTGTATCTGAGATAATTTCTGAGTAATATTCCTCAACTGGAGATTTGTGAATCTTGATTGTATCTGAGATAATTTCTGAGTAATATTCCTCAACTGGAGATTCGTGAATCTTGATTGTATCTGAGATAATTTCTGAGTAATATTCCTCAACTGGAGATTCGTAAATCAGAGCCCGGCTCTGATCTCAAAGGATGAATATCGAAAACGATTTGTCTCACAGTTATCAAATCTGATTTGATGTCTGGATTTACTA